CCCCCCCCCCGCCTCCCCGCCCGCGTCCCCGGGCTGGGCTGAGCACGGCGCCCCCTCTCCCACCGCGCTTGGGGAGTGGGCCTCCCCGCAGCTGCCTCCTCTCCCCACAGACTACAGTTCCGAGTGAAGAAGGAGGGCTGGGGCGGAGGTGGCACCCGCAGTGTCACTTTCTCCCGCGGCTCCGGCGACGTGGCTGTGCTCAAGGCTAGCGGCCGGTCCCTCACGGTCTGCGTGGGTGACGGGCTGCCCAAAAGCTCCAGTGAGTCTGCGCAGAACTGGAGGGCGGAGCCAAAGAGGCGGGACCTGTGGGGGCGGGGCCAGCGAGGGGGACAAATCAAGGCCGTGGGGCCGGGTCGAGAGCAGGTGAGGGCCGTGGAGGGGTGAGTCTGGAGATATTTGATAGGGAGGTCGCAGCCACGGAGTGGGCTGGGTCAGCGAGGTAACCAATGAGTGGGAGAGAAATGTGGAGGAGGCGGGGCCACGGAAGCGATTTTCCCCCCCCACTATGGGCGGGACCAGAGAGCCAGGCCAATGAGAGGTGAGTCCTGGGGGGAGGAGCCAATTACTGGGCAGAGCCAGGGTTCCAGGGTCGGTGCTGGTGGGACAGCCAGTGAGTCTGAGGGGGCGGGGCCCGGGGCGGAGCCACAGGGTAGACTGGACTTGTGGGCGGGGCCAAGAGCCTGCTGCGGTCTGGCCACCGTTCAAATTCCCATGTCCTTTCCCCTTTCAGAGCCTACACGGAAGGGAATGGCCCAGGGAAGACCTCGAAGGGCAGCCCAGGCCCCCACCCGGGCAGCCCCTGGGCCTCCCAGAGGTGAGAAGACGTGTCTTCCCTTGTCTTTTGCGTGCTCCATGACTTAAGCCAGACCTGCTGTCAGCAGAGTGGGCCACTCTGCTCTCTGCCCAGAGCTCTCCATAGCTCCCCATCTTCCACAAAATACAGACTAAGCTTAGTTTGATATTCAAAACCCTTCAGAATCCAACCCTAGCTAACCACCGACCTCTTCTCTCCTCCCATCTTCGACTCCTGTCATGCAAGCTACATCTTATTTGGCCAATTTAACCAATTTGTTCTTATCTCCAAGCCTTTGCTAGGGCTCTTTGCTCCTCTGGTCTCCCAAATTCTCTCTCAGCTTGACCTCCTATTCATCCTCCAAGACCCACCCACAAAAGCCCTCCTACAGAACAGGATAGAGGAAATCTTAACCCCTAAAGGGCCTCCCTCTGGGCCAGCACTTACCATGCTGAGTCAAGCATGTGGCTGGCTGCCTTCTCCCTCAGATGAGGAACTTGGAGCCAAATCCTCCCCAAATCCTCCTACCATCACCCTGATAAATGCCCCCACTCTTGCTCCTGCCGCAGGCCTGGACCGCAATGGGGTGCCCCCCTTGGCCAGAAGGGGGGACCTGCCCCTAGAGATCCCATCTGGAGGGGGCTTCCAGCAGCCTCCCCGGGGCCCTCCGTCGTCAGCCCTGAGGGCCAGCAGACGCCCCCGGGCACGGCCCCCCTCGGAGCACAACACAGAATTCCTTAACGTGCCTGACCAGGGTGTGGCAGGGTAGGTGAGGAAAGAGGGCAGCCCCAGGATGTGCACAGGGGGCAGGGGAGTGTCTGGACTCTGATGGGCGCTCCCTGTGCCCACAGCATGCAGAGGAAGCGCAGTGTGGGGCAGCGACCTGTGCCGGGCGTGGGCCGACCCAAGCCCCAGCCTCGGACGCATGGCCCACGGTGCCGGGCCCTGTACCAGTACGTGGGCCAAGACGTGGACGAGCTGAGCTTCAACGTGAACGAGGTCATCGAGATCCTCATGGAAGGTGTGTGTGTGAAACCCCCCATTCCTGCTCTCCTGCAAACCCCCCCCCCCCATTCTCCCGAGGAGAACAGAAGCAACCAGACCCATCTGGAGATATTCTCTTCCGGGCCAGTGGCTGCATACGCCCGAAGGCCTTGGGTCTGGAGGTTCCCTCCTAAGCCACTCTGGGGACTTGGCCTCACAGCAGCACACCCAATCCCTGGGCCTCATTTTTCTCTCCTGTCAAGCACAGGGCTAATAGCAGAACCTACCTCAAGAGACCCCTCGTGAGTAAAAAATGGGTCATGCCCAGATGACCCAGGCCACCTCCTACCTTAGTCCCCTGGGCTGCCCCCAGAGGGGCTTGGGACTCAACAGCACCCCATGCGGGTAAATGGGGAGCCCCAACGGGGTTATTAACTGGTCCATCATGGGGAGTGTGGGGAGGCGCCTGTAGGAAGAGACGATGAGGGAAGAGCACAAGAGAATAGTCTAGAATGTGACAGAGTGTGAGGCAGTGGCAGGAAAACCATGTGTCCATCCCTCCCTCCCTTCCATCTGTGGACAGTTCTCTTCAGCGTCTGCCTTCTGCCACGCCAGTGGAAATGAATAAGACAGGCGCAGAGCCAGCATGAAAGCTGTCTCCCGGGCAAGCGGGGTGCCGCCTCACACTCCCTTCGCACCCACAGATTCCTCCGGCTGGTGGAAAGGCCGGCTGCATGGCCAGGAGGGTCTCTTCCCAGGAAACTACGTGGAGAAGATCTGAGAGACGGCCCCGGATTCTGCCTCCTGCCTGACTGCCTGCCAGGCCCTGCCGGCAGGGGCCTCATTTTCCTTGGCCGCATTGGCCAGAAGGTCCAGTCCTGTGGCGTCCAGCCCGGCCCAGGCTCTGGGTCACCATTGGGGCTGGGGTTCACCCCTGCAGTCACCGCAGGGCCCTGGCCTCCCCCAGGTCACACGCATTGCCTCCTGGGTCAAACAGGGCTAACATCAGAATCTACCTCCCAGCTGCCTTGTGCATATACGTGAGTTGTGTCCCGTGGGCCAAGTGCCAAGCACAGTTGGGGGCACACCTTGACAGGTGAGATCCGCCCCCCTCTTTCTCTCACCACTGAGGCAATAAACATTGGCCAGGTGAAAGCGTGGATTAATTTACTGAGCGTTAACAAGAACTACCATCTCACAACCCCATGAGGGAGGTGCCCCAAATATACCCCAATTGCAGGTGAAAAAAAATGGAGGCTGGGAGAAGTTTCATCATGTGCCCAAGATTCCACGGAGCCAAGCCTTGAACTCATGTATGCCCCCACCTGGCCTCTCCCAAAGCTGGAGTTTGCTCACTCACTAGCTCACCCACTGTTGGCCATGTGCATCCCTGCTTTCCTGCAGAAAATGGTCTGGTGGGTCCTGTCAGCTTTGAATCTGCAGCCCCCAGACCCATCTGGGACCTGCCTGGACCCTGAGGAGGGAGGCAGGTCCCACACAACCCCTCACAATGCACCCTGGGCCACTGCCGGCCCCTGCCCCCCACCCCATGTCTGTGCCCTCTTAGCTCTCACTCACTTGGGGTCAGGACTGGTTCTGATATTCCATGGCCCTGGCTTTCTGCACTTATTGTTATGAATTTAGGGGATCAGCCTGGCTACTGGTCTCCCCAGATGTTTCCAAATCAGTGATGGAGTCTGAGCCTTTCAGAACTCTCTGCAGATACAGCTGGAAACTGCTGGGGGTCCTGCCATGGTCTGAGCGTAAGGATCCTGACTTTCCAGATGGACACCCACTCTGTGCTCAGCCCTCAAAGAGCAGCCAGTCCAGGAGAGACAGAGCCAGACTCCTGGTGTCAGGACTGGGCCAGAGAAGGGCCAGGGGCAGGGGGAGGGAATGCAGAGAAGGAGCGGGCATTGCTGGAGGAGCCAAGAGATGGAAGAAAAGGGTTGGCGTGAGCAGATCTTGATGGGAAACACCACATACACAGATCTCCACTGTGACAGAAGTCCGGGCAGAGGACACCTACCCATGGGAGATGAGGTATCAGTGAAAGACTGTCCAGCAGAACCTTCTGCAGGTCTGAACCCTCTCTCTTCTGTACCTATCATGGGAAGCTGAGCGGGCTGGAAACAAACAAACAAAAAAATCACAAGGTTGCAACTGGTCCTCACCAACTCTTTTATTAGCCAACAATTATACAAAAGCATTTAACCGGTAGCTTGAATGTCCCTGGTTTCCTCTATCTCTGGCGTTTGCCCCTCCACTGCCCAACCACCACTGTGTAGCTCTCTATGACACTTAAATGCTAGGACAGGCTGGGGAGGAACTGCATAAGCCACCAACCTCATCAGCTGGGCATTTCCTGGAGAGGACTCGGGGCTTCCGCCTCCCTTCTCTGTCCCTGAACTCACCATGCAGGTTGCCTGCCCCTTGATATTTTGGGGTACAGCCCTGGGGCCCCATTGCCATGGCAGTCAGCCCATTTGCAGGAAGTAGCACATTCTGGGCCTCACATCTAGGTTACAGCATCTTCAGACTGCAAACCTCAGAATCACCTTGGCCCTGCCCACTCCACAGCCCCACATCCTGTTGACTTCTAGAATTTCTTAAGCCTGGCCCCTCCTCTCCCTTCCTTGGGTGGCCTGTCCTTCTGAGGCCTCACCCCACCCTTCCCCAGATTGCACCAACACCCCTCCACACACAAAGACACCTCCACCCAGCACCAAATGATCTGTCTGGGTTTTGTGTTAAGTTTATTTATTTTGAGAGAAGGAGAGACAGAGACAGAGAGAGCAACCAGGGGAAGGGCAGAGAGAGAGAGAGGGAGAGAGAGAGAATCCCAAGCAGGCTCCATACCCAGTGTAGAGCCCGACGCGGGTCTTGATCTCACGAACCACGAGATCATGACCTGAGCCAAAATCAAAAGTTGGATGCTTAACCAACTGAGCCACCCAGGTGCCCCAAATTATCTGTTGGTTTTTTTTTTTTTATGAGTTTTTAACTGTATTAATGACAAATTAAAAAAAACATTTTTTTAAATTCAAACAGCACGTGTGAAAAGTCTGTCTCACCCTCACTTGAAAATCTGTTCCCCTCCCCAGTTTTTTAATGTCTCCTTCCAATAGTATCTCTGCATATAAAGGCACATAGGTACATCTTATGTACACAGATGAAAATACACTGCACATAAAGTCTATACTTGCCCAGAACTCAAGAGACACCTCTTGAATATTACACAATGTATTATAGAGATCTGAGATCAAAGATCCACTTTACCATCCCCCCAATTGCCCACCCTCCAAACACCCAGGAATCAAATGGTGGACCTCCCCCTGCTAAAAATTCATCAATGGTGAGAACAGAAACCACACTCCTCGCTCTCTCTCCATGGTTCACAAGGCGCTGTGTGACCAACCTTCCCTGCACCAAGTTCACTTTCTGACCTCCATACCCTGCTTCCACTCTGTTTCAGCAGTAAGCCGATCTCCTCACTAATCCTTGAAAAAGACAAGCTCGTCTTTCTCCACCTCAGGACATTTGCACCCACTATCCACTTCCCAGAGTCCCCTGACCTTCCATTTGTTCACTCCTTCCTGACCATCAGATAACAGCTCAAAAGTCAACTCCCAGAGAGGTTTCTCTTCCATGTATGTTTTTTTTTTTTCTTTGTAGCACTTAATATAATCTAAGATGGTTTTTTGTATTTGTTGATTCATTGTCTGTCTCCCTATTTTAAAATGTGAGCAGGCCCCTGGGGCACAGTCCCTTGCCCTGAGGGCAAGGATGTTTGTTCTCGGGTACCCAATGCCTAGTACACAGTTGGCGCTCAAGGAATGTAGGATGGATAGGTGACTCATTCCACCCAGGGCTCTCCATCCTTAAACTACACCTGTCCTGAGGTCAGGTTTCTTGCCCTTGGCTTGTTTCTTGCCCTTGGCTGTCACAAGGGGCCCATTTCAACTTCAGAAATAAGTTCATTGACAATTTTGACGATCATTGGCAATTTCCCTCTAAAGAGGCAGCCCAATCATCACGACCTCTTCAAACAGAAGAACGGCTGTGTGCCCCCTTTCGAGAGCTGGTGACGGGAAGGGAGGGGATAAAGATACCCATTTTGCAAAGGAGAACAGAGGTTCCGAAGGATTTTAAGCCAGGATCCCTGGGCACAGACTTTTAAAGGGGAACTCTTTGATAGGCCCTGGCTTGCAAACCCGTAGCGAGCGCCGCCTATACGGCTCTCCAGAAGGACCCAGATCCCAGGCTCCGCCCCCTCGGGGGGCGTCTTGCGCAGGGCCTGCCCCACTCTCGCGAGAGCTGGCAGGCGGAAAATGGCGCCGACGTGAGCGCGAGCCCGCGGCCGTCCAGGGAGTCGCCACAGCCTCAGCCGGAGCCGCCGGAGTCGCAGGAACAAGAGGCTGAGCCGGGTCGAGGATGGTGAGCGCGACGCCGGGGGTTCGGGCGCGACGAACCAGCGGGTACTGGCGGGGCGCGGCCCTGTCGCATGCGCACCGTCCGGTCGACCCCGCCCCCACATCCGGGCACTCTCCCGCCGCTGGCTGTCACTTGGGGAAGCACCCCACCCCTGCTTCCTGGCCTGGCTTCGACTGGGCCACGCCTACAGCGCTTGGGCTCCGCCCCTGGTCCTTTTACATCCGGGTCTTAGCACCCCGAGGTTCGACTGCACAGCTGGAGCCGGGAGGGTGTATATTTCCGTCCTCACACGATCCACTGGACCACTCCTGGCCCCTCCAGCATGTTCCTAGCGGCGCCCTATTCAGAGCCCCGTCTGTATAATCTTCGTCCCGCCCGCTCCCTGTAGGCCACGCCTCTGCCGTGTAAGGGACATCCCACCGGCCCTAGTTTGGCTCGAGGGACTTCTTTCACATGAGTAATTGTTGACATACCCCTTTCTGCGATTGGGTCACCTTCCAGTTCCCTCTCAGAGGGTGGAACGCAGAAGGCTCAATCCACTCTTTCCCTCCTGCCCTCCCTTGATGATGATTCCCTAGGATGGGGGCTGACCATCCAGGTGATGTCTCCAGGGCATTCGCTACTTCACAAATGTCCAGCGGTCTTGGCGGGGCGGGAGGGGTGACCCTGGCTGATCCAGGCCGACGTGGGCCCAGAGGGGTTCTCCCTGCTTTTTCCTTCCACTAGGAGGAGGAACCCGCGGGGCCCAGCCCGGACATGCCGGCCACTGCAGAGTCCAGCTTCAGTGAGACTGACAAGGAGGTGTTATCCCCAGTCGCGGCTGCCGCAGCCCCCCCCTCTTCCATGGGGGAGGACCCAGGCCCTGACCGGGCAGCCACACCCCCAGTGTGGGACCGCGGAGGGCCTGGAGGGTCCCAGCAGGGTGCTCCTTCAGCCCCAGACAGTGGCCAGCCTGGCCCTGGATCTGGCCTTGGCCCAACCAGCACAGTCTCGGGGACCAGCGAGGACCTGAGGCCTCCCAGACGACGCCAACAACCAGGTGATCTGTGATGGAACCTTCTGCGGGGGGCGGGGAGGGTTACAGGCCTTGGAATAATGGAGAGGAGTACAGAGTATCTCCAGACTTGGGGCTCATCTAGAGGGAATCACCATTGAGCACCAAGTGCGCGCCAGGCTGTGGCTACAGTGATGAGCCACGCCAGCTCAGCCCCTGCCCTCCAGTAGCTCAGTCTGGTGGGGGAAGCAGAGGGTAAAGGCCTTGATAGGAAACCAGTAGCGTCATTCCAGCCTCTCTGGGGCAGAACTCCGGACAGCGTGGATGGGGGAAGGGTGAGTGACACCCCCTCCACTTCTGTGCATCCTTCAGGGAAGCAGATACCCTGCTCCAGCCCTGGATGCTGCCTCAGTTTCCCCAGTGTTCGAGACCTGGCACAGCATCTGCGTACCCACTGCCCACCCACACAGTCCCTGGAAGGTAGGGCCAGAGCAGGTGGTGGGGAGGCAGCTGGGGTGGGAGGCAGGCAGAGCCTCCAGGCCAGCCTTGGCCACCGGTCTCCACTCCTGTGTCCTTCATCCGTGCCCCACCAGGCAAGCTCTTCCGCTGTTCCGCCCTGAGCTGCACCGAGACCTTCCCCACCATGCAGGAACTGGTGGCACATGGCAAGCTGCACTACAAACCCAATCGCTACTTCAAGTGAGACCCTGACCATCTCGACTTCCACCTGTGCTCCCTGACCAGGCCCCAGGCAGCTTCTCCCAC